AGACAACTGGGCCAACTTCCGGAAGGATGTAGATAATATGTTTGCACTGCGACACGTTTTTAACAAATTCAACCAAACCCTTGACGACTCCACCCTGCCAGAGCTGGGCTCCGGGGCCGGGGGTGGAGGCTTTGAAGAAGGCAGCGGAGAAGAGCCGGCCTCAGCCAGCGACGTCTGGCCGGGCCTGGCCGCAGAGGCTCGCCTCACCACCCCCGCCCCCAGCAAAACTCCATCAGCACCACCCACACCCAGGACCACACTGGAAGGCCAACTGGAATCTGTTGTCAACGACCTTCCTGAGAGGCTTCTGAGCAGACACGGGATGTCTGTGATGTCAGCATCACCGGTGACAGCATTACCATCGGGTCCAAGGAGAGACAGGGTTATCTTCCAGAGCGACACGTGGGCGCAGCAGCTGGAGGAGATAGAAGGAGAGACTTTCAGTGGGAACGGGATGACGGAGCTGGAGACGCAACACGACAACCTGCTGCGCACTCACAACAGCCTGCAGGCCCAGCTGGAGCCTGGCCTGGGCCAGGGAGAGGCAGCCAACCCTCAGCGGCTTGGCCTGGACCTCGAAGACGAGGAGGACATTTTCCAGGCTCAAGGCTACCTCCCTTATTACCCACAGACGTTGAGGCCCAAGGTGCAGGCCAGCACCACCGGGAGCCCCCCCACCACACAGACTAGCACCCCACAGAGTGTCGGGGTGGTGCTGCAGGTGCTGCCTCAGTCAGCGCTGCCCCTCACCTTGGACTACGAGGGCAGCGGCTCTCTGCCTCAACCCTCCAATCAGACCCTCTGAGGCAGACGCATGTGCTGGCCAGCCAGCCGACGAGCTGCTGGTCGCCATAGAGACACAGAGACACAGTGATTGGGAGATGAGCTTGCCAAGAGCGATGGCAAGTGATGCCACCTCAGTCAGTCAGAGTTGTATAATGAGTATTAAAATTATTTTTTATTTTTTTACAGGTGCCTACATTTATTAGTAAACAGTGTTATGTTTTGTTTTTTTTTTTCAAATATATATTTAGAAAAGAAAAAGCCTTAATGCAGCTAAACTTAAGTGTTGGGATTAAAGATGATTAATTCCATATGGATAACACCATTGATGTTTTTAATATATGTTTTTATGAAAAACAAGTGTGAGTGGTGAAACCATTTCAACATCTGAATACATAGTTAGCATGAGTCAGCTTTAGGTACGCTCCACATCTATTAATCATAACGCTGCCCAGTCACAGGAAGCTTCGTCACCATGGTACCCACTCACTGTATAGATAAAGGTTAAATTTGACCCCAAATGCACTTTTGAACTTTTCCACGTGATGACCTTGTGTGTGGATATGAAATTTGTGTCAATTTGTGAAATTAGATTTTATGAAATGATTATTTCTACTGACTACTTTTAAAAACTGACAAGAGTTGGAGTGTCGCTTCTGAAAGAGTTACAGAATCGACATGAATACACAACATCTGTTTCTCAAATCTTATTTTTAAAGTTGCCAAATGGAAAATATTTCTAGCATTTGTTTTTACCTCCTTGCCATATGGCGTCAATAGCATCAGAGAGTTTAGACAATCATGAGACAGCCTGAGCTCACAGTTCACCCTCTGACTCTGACTCTGTGGAGATTTAAAGGGACAGTTCACTCCAAAATCAAAAACACATTTTTTTCCTCTTACCTGTAGCTCTGTTTATCAGTCTAGATTGTTTTGGTGTGAGGTGTCAAGTGTTGGCGATATCGGCCGTTAAGATGTCTGCCTTGTCTTGAATATAATGGAACTAGATGGCACTCTGCTTGTGGTGCTCAAAGTGCCAAAAAAATACATTGGAAAAACTCAACAGCAATGTCTCTTTCCAGAAATCATGACCTGGTTACTCAAGATAATCCACAGACCTTGTTGTGAGCAGTTTCATGTAGGAACTATTTTCTTTCTACTGAACTACACCCGCCAATCACATCACCACACAGAAGGAAGTGTGCATCTACTCATGGACGAAAGGCTCATGCTCATGATATCTATGTGAACATTAATGGTGTCCTCCTTGGCTGAGCTGCAACCTTAGCTAGCTCAGTGGTGCTAGGTCGCATACTTTTTCTTTATACTTTTAGTAGGCACTGCAGCTGCCCTTAAAAAGAACGTACTGTTGCATGCAGTGTGCACACAATCAGGACATACTACTTCCTCATAACATCACGCCCTGAACTTTGACCCTCTGGCTTTTATATCCGTTACCTTGGAGATAAAACAAATGCCGTGGATGTAGTAGAACATCCTGGTATTTTTGGCGTACTGCATTTAACATACTAAATCTTTTCCTGGCACACTAATGGTAGTATTTGTATTGGAACACACACTTTATTCTGAGCGGTGATACGGTTGGTGGGTGTTGAAAGAAAGTAGTTCCTACATGAAACTGCTCACAACAAGGTCTGTGGATTATCTTGAGTAACCAGGTCATGATTTCTGGAAAGAGACATTGCTACAGCTGATACCTCCAACACAGCAACTTAAACTAAAACAATCTAGACTGATAAACAGTTCTACAGGTAAGAGGAAAATCTGTATTTTTAATTTTGGGGTGTACTGTCCCTTTAAGTTAACTATCCTCACTAATAAGCAAATGCTTTCACAATCAGCAGGCGATAGAACATGTTCATTGTGTAACTTTTTTTGGAGCTGTCACCATTCCTCATGTGGTGTATGATGTAGTGCTTTGATAATCCTGAGTATAGTGTTGCACATGGCCAGTTCATTTTGAATGTAACTGTGTAGTCCCTTCAGCACACTCTGTTACAGCTTTATCTACGACAGCACAGTCAGTGAAATACTCTGCAGACGTTTCATAAGCTAAGTATTCCCATGTTTAACCTTTAGAAAATGGTTCTGCAAAAACTTGATGCTGTCCTTTTCCTTCTCGACAGTGTGTGTACAAGTGTTAGAACAACTCTGGTTTCAGGAAAGCCATGAAGCTGTTAAAGAAATAAACCCTTTCAACCTTCCCCGTGATGTCGTCCCACCACATTCATTATCTTCCGTTACACACAAACACTTTGCAATAATTCAACCAGCCGAGTGGATTTTTCCATTTTTTAATGACAAATATCAAGTATTCAAGGCATTTGTAAACCAAGTGTTCACAAACATCAATTAGACTTCTGCTCCTGAGGAACAAAAGTGATAAGAGCTCAACTTTCAGAATACAGCTTCTGTTCTGTCCAGGAAATTCACTTTCGGTTCAAATACTGATGAAAGGGAAAACGTGTTAAAAGCAAATCTCCAGTCAACCTGAAGTCGTCTGTGTTAGTAGTAGTCCAGGCGTTTGAGCAGCAGGACACTGAATACCAAGTAGTAGGTGCACAGTAGAGGCAGACATCCCTGCGTCTACTGTGTCTAATGATCTGTGTGGCATTACTGGATGATTCTCTACCCTGTCGTTGATATAACTCTTAGCAATGTGATCAAGTTCAGTTAGTATAAGTGGAGAATTTTAATCCATTGAAACATGACTTTACTCAAACATACTTTCAGTGAACAAAGAATCCAAAAAAGTAAGAAAATTCTTGATTAGTTGAAGTCATAGGAGTCTGTGTTTAACAACAGCAAAACTATATCAAGACATCTGTTGACAAACTCTTAAAAAACTTGTACAGTACAATCCAAGTCTCATTTATCCAGTCACATGCTCAGTTCTTCCCAATCAGACAATCAGACAGCCCTTCACGATGGGTAACTTAACTGAGAGTGAAACTGTGTCAATGAAGCCAGACTTTATTGACAAAAACACTAATTTTATCTCCTTGAAATTTTCACTTTTAGTTAAGTTCCTTGTCAGAAAGGGCTGTTTTTCAAGTACTGAGCATCCAACTGGGTAAATGAAACTTGGATTACACTGTACAAGTGATGTGAGAGTTTATAAAGTATTTTTTTGGGGGGGTCGCCTATTCCAGCTGACATTGGGCGAGAGGCAGGGTACACTCTGAACAGGTCACCAGACTATCACAGGGCTGACACATAGAGACAGACAACCACTCACACCCACATTCACACCTACAGACAATTTAGAGTCACCAATTAACCTGCATGTCTTTGGACTGTGGGAGGAAGCTGGAGTACCTGGAGAAAACCCATGCTGACACAGGTTTTTTGACATAGTTCTGCTGTTAAACGTGGACCCCAATGACTTCAATACATCACAAACTTTCAGTTTTTGGATTCTCCATTCACCATGAAAGCATGTGAGAAAAACAAACTTTTCCTCATGAATCCAGTGTAACACCTGGTGAATATCAAATATACAAATTTTCATTTAGGGGGTGAAGTATTCCTTTAATTGTAAAATGACTCAGCAGGGGCTGCATTTAACTTACCAGTCACACAGGCAGGGGGACCTGATCAATAATCCTACAATGGTATTCCTCTTTTGAGGCTGTGATGAATACGGAGCGCTAGAAGAAGGGTAGAGAATCATTACAGATGGAGAGAAGGGCATTCTGGGTAGCATAACATAAGCATTTAAATTAACTCCATTGTGTTCTCCTCTTGACAGGAGAATATAACCCAACTCCCTCCCCCCACATACACAATGAACTCAACCCTTCCCCTGTGAGTAATACTGCTCAGGCACGGCGAGGCAAGTCCACTGGTTTGTTTTCTTTGTAGCTTTAAGTCTTATCCTCGTCTCTTAACTACGACGTCGTGGGTTAGTTCATAAATATGCTTCTAACTATTTGTGAGCTCTATAATACGCTTCATTTGCTTTGTCAATATTTACACGATGATCACTTATGAATATGTCATTTGAGGTACTAAGTCACAATAATGCTAAAATTAGTCACTGCCATTATTATTATTATTAATAATGATAATCTTCACCTGGCAGAATATACCAACAATCTTGGCCAGAAAACGTTAACTTTTAAGATGTGTTCACTGCATCAGATTCTCCATTCCTTTGCAAACGTAACTAAAAAGAAGGTGTACTGATCAGAATATAAAATACAATAACTTTATTAGACTTATCTCATATTCCCCTTCAGGAAAATGTGGTTTTCAAAACATGATATCGAACAAAAGTTGTTTTTTTTTAAACATGGAAACCACCTCTTCCATTTCTCAAACATCACCTCCCCTATTCAATGGAAGGTAAATCCATAAGATACTTAATAACATGAAAGTAAAATAAAATTACAATCAATAAAAAAAATGGCATCTGTTATTCTGAATATTGTAGACTTCACCACCAAACTAGGTTTATCTTTGGGAAACTGGAGTGCTGAATTCAGTGCAGTGATCAAGTTAAATAATTAACCTTTGAACCAAGAGCTTTATACAGTAGGTCTGACAAACAGCAACATTCACTGGCCTTCACACAATCTTCTCTCTGTCCACTAGAGGGCGCCAAACACCCAGGAACTGAATGATCAACATCAGATTACTCTCGCTGATTAAAAGGGGGGTTCATAGTTTCACATGCTTGCTGCACTACTTTCTTAAAAGCCTAGACTACAAGATAACTACTATGTACATCTGATGACCATTAGAATGGAGAAGCCATTACAATGTAAAGCCAAAATGATGCATCCTTTTGTTAAATACAAATTTGTTTCACTTTGAGGAAGTTGTGTTTTAAAAATGGTTCAAATTTTGCTGCAAACATTCTTTAAAATCTCCATTGTCACATTTCCAGTTACAAGTACAATCACATCTTTTGGACATACAGTAGCTTCAGCACATGGTCAGAGATGAGATAACCTTTCTTGTTCCGTTCTCCTGTTCGCCGTGAGGCTGATTATTACATGTTGTAATAACAAAGTAGTGTGATGACACATAGGTTTCATAGAAGTCGCTGTACCATTGGTGCTTGTCGGCTTTAAGCTACATGGTTACCTTGCCAAGGCGAGGAGCTTCGTCCACCGAACACAGAAGCTGAGGGCAACGAAGCAGGATACTGTCGCTCAACTGAGAGGACAGTGACTGGCTTTTCGGTAGCTAGCGTGTACCCTGGTAGCTAGCTTTGTATACTGGACTGGCCGAGGCAGCCTGAGAGGCACTGTTACGAAAAAGGAATTTAAAAAAAAAAAAGAGGTGAGGGGATTTTTAGAAATCCCAGTTTTTTTAAATTGTGAAGGTCCGAACAAGACCAGACAGGAGAGCAGGTGGAATGGCTCGAATACAGGAGAGGTTGCTGATATGTTCACAGCTCAGACTGTGAGGGACGATGGGGTTATGGCTGAGCCGATGACATGTAAGAATGAAAGGGGGAGAAAAGGAGGTACAGATGTGTAATACAGAGGGAGCTGTACAGTACTGAGGAGGGAGGAGCTGTACACTGGATCTTGCATAGTACAGGTTTATCAGTTGTGCTTTAGAGGCCGTGTTGATGATGACTCATCTGTCTGTTCAGAGATTTTAATGCCCTGCCCTTTAACAGTAGCACCATGTGATGTCTTTACATCGTCCCAACCGTCGCGTGGAGGTCTGAGCATCAGTGTGGATGCTGTGTGTGGCTGCAGCTGATGATATGCTCAGAATCAAATCTGTCAGTCTCCTGTTATTATAAACAACAACGAGCAGCCCTTTAAATATGGTGGCCGCACCTGTGTCTCTGCCTGTCAGTCCTACAGCAGCTGTGGAGCCCCGCCTGGCGTCTGATTGGTGTGAAGCAGACACTGTGTGGCGCAGAAACACAAACAGGAAGGCACAAGTCACAATGGACCCCAGAGGGAGGCTTGGAGCGCTCTCAGACGTGTGCGAAGCCTCTGTGGTGATGCGGCAAGAGGATGGGCGGGGTTATTGCTTTGAGGGCGTTGCCGGGGCAGCTGAGGCTGCTGTGGCCACGGTTGAGCAGCAGGGCGGCGGGCGGGTCCGGCCGGGGCGGGATGAACACGGGGCAGGAGCGGGTGCGCGCGTGGCTTTTGTGGCCTCCAGCGTGGCAGATGAGCTCGCTGACGGTGCCCAGCGGAGGCAGGTGCTGGCGCCAGCGCTCGGCCCGATCCTCCTTGTGCTTGATGGAGTACCAGGTGAGGAAGATGAAGATGAAGCCAACGAACTTGAGGCTGGCGGCCAGGCCGAAGTAGACGAAGCGGAAGGAGGTGACGTCGTATTCCCAGCAGGAGCCGTGCACGCCGCAGTCCTGCTGCCACAGCATGCAAGTGGTGTCGATCACAGCACCAAAGTAGATGGGCGTGGGGATGTAGGCTGAGGGAGCAGAGACAGGATGTGATGAATAAATCTAGTAAACAAGTCGCTGTGTACCAACTCCAAACTATATATAATTCTGAACCACACAGTGTATTTTACTGTCCCCTCTATTTTAAACCAGTTTTGATTATTTAACAAGTTTCTGTTTGTTTTTGTTATTTGAATTTGGCAAAGCTCAGCTGGAACAAGGTGATGTCATGTATTTCCATGCTTATGTTGCCAGCACTGTCAATCAAATCTGATCAAACCCCATCCACACTTTCCCTGAACTTTAACTTTGTTTGTTTTACAGAGAAATATTAGAGATTTGTAACCACATTTTCGGGGACTTTCAATATACCCCCAAAAGTCGATGTGCATGTTAATGATTTTTGAATGTGCTGTTGTGTACAGTTTTCACAATATCACACATAATAACACAGTAACACAAAATCTTTGGAAAACACAAGGTAGGTTTTAAATCTAAATTTTTAAAAGCTGTGTTTGTGAAGTTTACAGTTTCTTGTCAGTTTGAATGATCCAAGATGCCTCAGAAGGCAGCCTCTGCAGTGCTGTTTATGTTAGTCAAATGTTTGTTGTCCTTGTTCTAAGCTGTATGTTTATTCTATGTATGTACGTTGAGAACAATAAAAGATGGGAGTCAGATTCTTTGTATGCCTACACATACTTGGCCAATAAATCTGATTCTAATTGTGTTTGTTACATGTCTGACAGCTCATATATTTTATCTTGTAAAGTACATTAATTTCACATATACTTCAACAAACACAAACTAATGACAGATTGTATATAACAATTAACATGTAATGGAATTGGGATACAGCCCTTGAATGTAATTCGACTGTGACTGCAAACCATAATTTTACCACTTGGTGGAGCCATTTTGTGCAAATGAGACAGGCCTGAGCCTCTGAAGGTCTCACTACCACTTTGAGTACTAAGTGTAAAAAAGTCATAGTAAAGTAGGTCATAAAAAATTGATAAAAACTGTCAAAACAGTCATAAAAATGTCACAAGGCACTATGCAATAAAAAATGTCAAGAGAAATAGCCATCCTGTATTATTTTAAAAAATGTCAAAGTATAGTAAGCCATGAAAAATGTCACACAACAGTCAAATACTGTGCCATGAAAAATGTCATAGTATAGTATGTCTTCCAAAATCATGAAAAATGTCACAGTATAGTATGTTGTCCAAAACCATGAAAAAAAAGTCATAGTACAGTATGTTGTCCAAACTTATGAAAAAAAGTCATACTATAGTATGTCGTCCAAAATTATGAAAAAAAGTCATAGTATAATATGTCGTCCAAAATTATGAAAAAAGTCATAGTATAGTATGTCGTCTAAAACCATGAAAAAAAGTCATACTATAGTATGTCATCCAAAATTATGAAAGAAGTCATAGTATAGTATGTCGTCTAAAACCATGAAAAAAAGTCATAATATAGTATGTTGTCCCACACCATGAAAAAAAGTCATAGTATATAGTATGTCATCCAAAATTATGAAAAAAAGTCATAGTATAGTATGTCGTCTAAAACCATGAAAAAAAGTCATACTATAGTATGTCATCCAAAAACATGAAAAAAAGTCATAGTATATAGTATGTCGTCCAAAATTATAAAAAAAGTCATAGTATAGTATGTCGTCCAAAACCATGAAAAAAAGTCATACTATAGTATGTCGTCCAAAACCATGAAAAAAAGTCATAGTATATAGTATGTCGTCCAAAATTATGAAAAAAGTCATAGTATAGTATGTCGTCTAAAACCATGAAAAAAAGTCATACTATAGTATGTTGTCCCACACCATGAAAAAAAGTCATAGTATAGTATGTCGTCCAAAATTATGAAAAAAAGTCACAGTATAGTATGTCGTCCCAAAGCATGAAAAAAAGTCATAATATAGTATGTCGTCCAAAATTATAAAAAAAAGTCATAATATAGTATGTCGTCCAAAACCATGAAAAAAAGTCATAGTATAGTATGTCGTCCCAAAGCATGAAAAAAAGTCATAATATAGTATGTCGTCCCAAACCATGAAAAAAAGTCATTGCAGTATGTTGGTCAAAATTATGAAAAAAACCTTATAGTATAGTATGTCTTCCAAAATCATGAAAAAAAAGTCATAGTATAGTATGCCATCCGAAATTATGAAAAAAAAGGTCATAGTATAGTATGTCGTCCCAAATCATGAAAAAAAAAGTCACAGTACAGTATGTCGTTCCAAACCATGAAAAAAGGTCAGGTTTTGACCTGCTCAGGGGCCATTTCCTGTATATGTACTGCCAAATTCATTGTCAATACATTACAATCACTAAATTACACCCTTTGGGTTTTCTATAAAGCTTTGTACCTTTAACATCTGGTTTTTATGACCCAAGTAGAAATAATAGATGAGGCATTGTAGTGTTTTAACCTGCTTCACAGGGTAATAAAACACACAGTGTGTGTTCCTATCATGTTTAACATTCATCACAGTGCAAATAATCAGAACTTACCAAGAGTTCGGAGCAAGACAAACTGCATCCCAAGAGCAAAAGGCCTCTCCTGTTCATCAACAGACCTGAAACACAAGAAACAGAGAGTGAACAATATAAATTTACTGCAATCCATCTATTACTCAGTTCAAACAGACAGAGAATATGATGGCCTTTCAGCAGAGTGGACACACACACAATGACTGGCAGAAGGGGCTCCTCACCTGAGTGTGACGATGATGGCAGAGGGCTGGGCACAGGCGGTGATAAGAGTAACGATAAAGAGGAAGATGAGGAAAGGGATGAGAGTGTTGCAGGTGCGGTCGCACTTCCCCGACACAGCGTAGCCGTTCTCGTTCAGGTAGGTTTTAACGATGACCAGCTGGAGCTGGTTGACCTGGCCGCCGGAGGACGGAGTGATGACCTGTCTGCTCTGCACACAGCCACAGTCTGTGTAGTTTCTAATCTGTAATTACAAACAACATGATTAAATCCCACCTTCCACTACCAACATCTTTCTTTTTTAAGCTAAATAAAACCTGAAGCTAACTCGATTAAAACATAAGTGATACTGCAGCTGCATTGAAAAATGAAATGTAAATTTAGACACGAACAGACAGACTGGGTGGCACCAGCCGTGTGGCACAATCTAGGCATTTCCTTTCCTCACGCTGTTATAACTTCCTATCTGACATTGTTGTGTGGTCTGTTACTTCCTGTTCTTTCAGAGCTCTGGGAGGAGAAAGTACAGAGGGTGTTCATTATGATTAGTGTGTCCGCTCTCTGAAATCATTTTTATCACTCCTTTCATATTCTACTACAGTGGACGTGTAAACGGCCACATAGCAATCATTTTTGAGACAGAAAACAATGAAGGCATGGGTGTAGCGAGTACGTGTGTGTGTGTGTGTGTGTGTGTGTGTGTGTGTGTGTGTGTGTGTATGCTCACCCCAGTGCTGTCGTTGCCCACTGTGCTGCATCCAGCCAGACAGGGGTTGAAGTAGGTAATGCCGTCAGAGCCGCAGACCGGAGCGTACTCATGGATCCTGCATCCACAGTTGACGTTGCAACTGCCCGTCAGGTTCCTGTGGGTCATCGTCAGGGTCGGACTGCACACGGGGACACAAAACGTGTTCAGAACAACAGGAATCCATCTATTTACTGGAACATTTCAGTGCAGGGGCTACATACGTCTTTGTAACCCTTGTTTATACTAGCCTTTCAAAACCTTTTGGATAATACTAAAATGCATCGAGAGGGTTGCTTTTCTTTTTTTTTTTTTTTATTCACACTTTGGAAATATATTTCCACAGTAATGCTGTGTCAGCAAGGGCCAGAGGCAGGGGACTGGGCCATTCAACTGTCTGTAGGAGCATTTATTAAATTTCTGCACATTAATGCATCTAGGTTAGTGTGGCCCTGCTGGGAGAGCAGCACACCATTTCACTCCGGAATAAAATTTATGGCGCTACGTGTCGCATTTTAAACCACATTTCCTCTAAAACTCAATGCTTCCTGCTGCAAAGAGGGTAATACTTCATGTCCCCAATCTTCTTCCCTGCTTGGCACCATTCCATTAAGTTATGTTTCAGCAGGAAAAAAGAGCCAAAGAGGCATTAAGACAATAAGAAATGTTGCATATTAGCTGCAAAGTACACAGCGAGAATTTCATACAATGCAAAATGTAGTGTGGGAGATCTAAAAGTCTGACAATCTTCTCAACAATGTGTCTCATTGTTAATCTGCTGCACATAATCCCTTTGATTATCTTTAATCTAGCCCTCCACCTCACTGTGTGATGTGTGATGATAGAGGGACAGAGACGAGGGGGTGAGGAAGTGACACCTCTAGTGACTCGAGAGGCGGTGTGGGAACAGTCTCTTTAAGCCAAACAGGACTTTGGCTCCGTCTAAACCAGGAGCAGTGAAGCGAGTCCTGGGTTTGCTCTGGGAAGCTTCGCTCTGAGCCCTGCGGAACAGCCGGGGACGGGCCCTAACAACACAACAGGCTTGGGGTGACGCTGTAGCGCACACACACAACCAACACTGACATTACATTTCTATCTCCAAGTATTTTGATATGTTTAAGATGCCAAAAAAATCAATTAGTTTATGTTACTTCTTAAAATCTGTGGACCATCATTTCTCACAAGACCATAAAGGGATACTCATCCTCATTTGGTTGTCACAGGGGAAGCACATTTGGGCCCGTCCTGACATAACAGTGTCACATTCCAGACACTGTGTGTGTGAGGGAGACAGAGTGTGTGTGTTTGCATGCACGAAAAAAGAAAGGCATCAGCCCCGATGGAGTCGCAGGCTCACTGCACTGATTGCACATGTCCTTTTTTTTTTTTCCAGACTTAACTACGGCCTCCGCTGAACCCTCCAGATGTCATGTCGCCGTGTCCAGGCTGCACTGCATAAAAAACCCAAACTGAGAGCCAAGAGAACGAATGGCTTACTGTGGTTTAGCTCTGCAGACTCTGAACAGGGAGAGTGACGGCCAAAACACTGAGTTGTGAAGGTTTATTGAGATTCTTTATTTTGAAAATGTCCTTCAAAGATGACGAAACAGCAGCTTTTGATTATACATACAGGCCTTGCTCGTAATCGTGCAGTGCTTTTGCAGAATATTACATAACTTGACCTCTCCGCTCTGTGAAGCTCGAGGACCTTCGGAGTTTGTCATGTCCTTTTTTGTCAAATAGTCCCGAGCCTGTCAGCAGAGGGAGAGCTACGTCTAGACTAGTGTGTGAGAGCAGACAAGTGACACAAAGGGTGGGCTTGGGCTAAACATTCCTTATGTGGGTGCTAGCGGTGACTAGTGACCAACACTGTTCATAATGAGGAGCCCCCACTGGCTCACACGTCTTGTTGACCCCTCTATAAACACCGGCTCCAACAAAAACTGCAGTTATTAATGGGTCAGCTACGGGGCTTTAAAGGGCCCACTGGCTATTTGGCAAATATTCATCATGATTAACTTAGTAATGTGAAAAGTAAATTTCACAGAGGTTTAGCAGTTTCACCTCTCTTTGCTCAGGGTTTACTGAACTTCTGCCAGATGCAGTTGACTGGCCCGCACAGCCTACAAAGGCAACCAGGTCCTTTATCAAAATAAATTTTAATACATCTAATACCTCTGACGATATGGATGCACAACAAAAATTGAAAATGTTCATTTTTGGGACGTGTATGACACTGTTATGAGATGGGATATTAACACAGTAGATATTAAATGTTTGTACATCTTTTGCATCATCCAAGGTCACTCCGCTTATGGCATCTTTATGCATCCATCTATATGAGTGTATTCATAACTGTGTGTCCGCTCCGCATTCCTGTCCGCAGGGGCTGACACATCAGATGACTGTTTCTGTTAACTGTGCAGCCTGGCTGCTGATGTGGTGTCGAGCAGCCGCTTCAGAAATAGAGGTGGCAGAGTGATTCAGCGGAGCCATGAGAGCAGATGCCTGTGTTGCTAATTAATCATTCGCACTCCAAAACAACGCCACAACACATAAGAATGATGGAGCGGTGACAGCATCCCAGGCCCACACCCTCCTACACTATATGTGTATGTCAGATATAACTTCATATGAAGATGTTTGTATGCAAATGTATACCTGCATACGTAAAATGATTCATATTGTACATGGTCAAGGAAAAGGAGCTTACAAAGCGAAACTATCACAGATCACAAGCTTATTTCCCTGTCAATATGTGTTTCCTCCTTAACACCAGCGCTTTGGGTGCCTCTGCCTCAGCCGTCTTAGCAGAAAGAATGGATACCGGATACTTTGGCGGCTGTTACCATACTAAATAAAGTCTGAATGTGAAAAACACTGCATTTGTCCTTACCCAGTTGTGTAAGGTATGTTGATGCCTCCTAAATTGATGCTCTCACAGCCCACTATGAAGAGTGTGGAGAAGCAGAGCAGAGACACGCCGCTGCATATCATGGCCAGCTTGGCCGACTCTCTGGCCCCAAGCTTCAGCTTCTTGATGATGTAGCCCCCCAGCACGATGCCCACCCCGGCACTGGGTACGATGATCACACCTGTGAGAGAGATAAGAGAAAAGAGAAACTGGTGAGGTGAGGGGGGAGAAAAAAACTTCAGAGGTGTTACATACAGTGCATAAATAGAGCAGCTAATTTGTGTCAGGAAGTAAATGTTAACACTGAATTAATTACTGTAAAGCGTGAATGACTACGTGCATCTAATCTACAGTATTTTAATCAGCACCAACACGACTAACATTAACATGTCGTGCTTTTATATGAGAGATTATATGATGTCTCGTTGGACACGGTTGCTTGGAAGAGAAACATCAATCTCAATGACTGTGTTTACAAGGTCTTTAGTATCCCGTTTTTGAGGCTTATCCCGGCTTTGACCATATCCGGGATATGATGTTTACATGGAACACAGAGAAACCCGGTTATTCATATCCCTGTATACATGATAAATACCAGTAACCCGTTTTCTGATCACTGCATTCTATCTGCGCAGGCGTGTGTTTCGTCTTTTACGTCTTTTGTTTACAACAGATTGAGCGGGAAATGTGATATATTTATTATATTTAGAAGTAAGACAAAAATGAGACCTCTGTGGCTTCTAGCGGGCTTAGTGTTAGTAAATACTCACGTCGCATTACAGCTATGGCTCATCCACTTCATCTTCAGCAATGGAAGGAGAGAGCGACAACAAATATTGAATACGTCACCAACTTTGATAGGTATTTGGCTGTCACTGCCACCACGCAGTACAAGGCAACAGTGGATTAAAAATACGTAGCCGTGACTGGTGGGATAGGATCGTTCTCATGGAGTTTACAGATTCAGAGTGGAGAGAAAACTTCAGAATGAGTAGGGCATCCTTCAGCCGGCTGTGTGACGTAGCTGAACCATTCATGAAACCGGGATAAGGCGTATACATGCTCCAGTATCCCGGCTTCTATCGGAGTACTCCAGGTGGCAAAACCAGGTTTCTTGAAACCGGGAAAAGGGCATAACCCGGTTTCTGAATTCGGGATATGGTGTTTACATGCACAAACACAAAAATGGGATACTTAAAAAACCCAATCAAAACCGGGATACTAAAGACCTTGTAAACACAGTCAATGTGACTTCTCCTGTTACACCAAGAATAAATCACTTCAAAGAAAAATGAAAAAAAAAAAAGGATCAGGATCAGAGGAGGCTTTGCTGTATCAGTGTGACCAGGTTACACTGTGGGCTACCAGTGAGTCTTTTCAGACCGTGGCAGCACGAGGCACGTGCTCCCAGTCCACTATAGCTGGTCTAATTGACAGCATGAATACAGGCAAAGCTGGCTGCTGGCAGGATGGACTGGGTGGAAAGTGTCAAATCGTGCAGGACTGAAAGCCCGGGGAGGCTGCACATGGCAGCCCTCGAGCCCTGCCACAGGACTCGCGGCCGGGTAACGAGCAAGATGGGGTCAGTCGGCGGGGGCGGAGGGTCATCAAAGATAGAGGATCAGCAGAGAAGTGATCCAAGTGCACAGAAATGTCATCTGGCTTCGCCTTCTCTCTATGTATCTCTGTGTATCTCTGTGTATGTGCGTGTGTAACAGTGATAGAAAATGTGTCTCTTTGAGCACGCTCAGTGAGAGCTAGGCAACAGACAGCTGTGGCATGACATTATCCTGTAAGTGCATGTCTATGAGCTAAAACCTTGTGCTTTCTGCAGGATTAAACATGTACACAGCCAAACCAGATATCATATCACAGTGACATAAAGCCCGCACACACTGTGCTGTGGTTATAAATGCTACATGAATAACTTACTCCTGTTCTATCTGGATTAACCATCCTTCCATAAATGTGTGCATGTATGCATGTCGGTGCTAATCTGTTACAGAGATCCTACATCAAGCAGTGAATCTCATGACAAACTTTTGCGCTGCCTATAACTGTCAACTGCAGCTTGTGCAGCAGAGACGTAGAAATAAGAGAAGAAATAAGAGAAGCACAATAAGGATGGAAAGTGCATATCTGAAGCGAACAGAGGGTGAGATTAGGAGAGGTGTCAGAGTGAAACAAAGTCAGAGAAACAGTCAGAGAGCAGCAACAGCAGCACTGGGGAAACTGCAGCTGAGGAAGGCGTGTGTGATATGTTACAGAGCTATTTCTGTAGCAACATCTAATGAGCATGTAGCAGCAGTGGCTCTTTAAACAGGGCATGATACAGACTCATGGAGGTGGTAATTTGTGATTTCCATTTATATTATTTTGACATCTTTAGTTTCTACATTGCTGTTTTTGTGGTTCACTTCCTACAGTGAGACAAAGATATCATGTCTTTTTCTTTATATGCTCTTCTTTGGACTTGTCAGCCACCGTGGCTATTGCTGCTAAATCTAGATACCTAATTATTCTGTTTATTTCTAGCACTGTCAGTGCTGCCGGAAACACAAAGTGCATCATGACCTGTGCAGCCCAAGGACAGTACAAAAGCTTTAATGAACTGAACCAAGTGATGCTCAATCCATTGACAATTAGGGCTGGACTCTGATTGCTGGCCCCATGTTGGATCTCAAGTACAGCTGGATTTATTCAGTGTACGTTAACAGATTTTTTTGCCCACACGGGAGCAGCAGAAACAAGCTGTAAAGACAACAACAATTATAATTATCATCTTTTAATTTGATAAGGTGAACATGTCAGCATATTGTTGCTTATTTACACAACCAGCATATGTAAAGCAACATTAGCATGTATTAGAAGTTTTGTTTCTAGTTACTAATGAATGCAAGTTCAATATTCACTTTCTTTTTAGTTAGTTTTTCTCTCTCTGTTGATTCCTGAGGGAAACATCTGGATCTTAAGCGGAAACATTTGTCTGAAGATTACATTGCTGAGATTGGAGAGTCTGAACCAAAACAGTAAAGTGGTGGGCCCTCAAACCAAAGCAATGAGCTGAAAGACACTATAAAGCTCTGAAGAGCTGAGATGGAACTGCAAAGTTGGGTGATAATTCTTTGTGTGATCGCTACTATGAATGAACCCTTTTACATTACACACTCATTGTTAATGGGCCAATTTAGAGTCACACCACAGTGGTTAGCATTGTCGCTGCTAGCCACTAGCACTTTGTAGAGGTATTTGTCCTGGGTCATGAGATTGTCCAGGGTTTTGCCCAAGTATAATATGACAAAGCTCCTCATTTCTTTAGCAATCTCTTGTGAATATGGGTAAATTAGTGGGCATCCCCCCAAAAATATGAAATTTGTCTGCAATTGATTTATCACACAGCCTCCAGCATTCATCCCACCCCTGAGGCTCATATAAATTTCAATTTTGTCACAAAATATCGTATTATGTTTTTTCAGCAGGACTCCTGCCAGGATTTTGAACTGGTGGTCCTAGTTTGACCCTCCAAAATATTATTCCGGTCATTCTCAGATATCTCCAGGCCTATATGTCATATATTCGTGATACAAGAGCCACCTCCATGTTGAGAACCGTATGCAGACAATCCCGACTTACACTGAATGTTGCACACAGCTCCACTAAGTAGCAAATAGCAATGTAGGCAAAATTATCCAAAAGTAGTCATTCAGATAAAAAGTAAATATTTTAAAATTTGATTACATTTTTTATATCTTGTTAAGCCAGTGTTTTAGTTCTCTAAGTTCAATCATTACACTTTTATTACCCTTTGAAACCTGAGTAAATTGGTTTGATTTCTTTCAAACATCCGAAGAAGGCAATAAGCAATGAAAGAAGAAATGACCCAAAAATTCTGCAAGAAATTAGTAAAAAGAGAAAATTCAAAACAAAAAATAAGTTAAAAAGAAAAGAAAAGAAAGCATAGAAAGCTAAAAAACAAACAAACAAGGAAATGACTTGGAAAAAGTACTTAAAAATGTCTGTCATAATTTTAAAAATGAAATAATAATAATAATTATATTTTTTTCCCCCTATTTTTTTCCTTTTCCCCCTAATTTTTTTAAAATAATTTTCTAAACCTATACACTTTTTGCAATTTGCGGGGCATTTCTTACCAAGTTGCTCATTGCCTTTCGCCCAAAAATAGCACAAATTTGCTCAAGGTTCAAAAGATTTAATACTTGTGAAAGGCATCTGAGAGCAGCACAAGAAAAGCGATGTTGCTCCAGGTTTCAAAGGGTTAAATATCACCTTCAGTTGCTTAAAAATTGTGGAAAGCTAATCCTAATTGTAATCCTAATTGTATTTGGTTTTATGAAACAGATTAAAACTAAAATCAATCAAAGCCTGAGTCTACTGGTATTACCATTTATGTGAAAACATAACAAATATTTTACGCATGCACAATCACTGTCTGGTATTCTGGTCGTTCTTTAAAAACAATCCCTCACAATCAACAGGGAAATGTCACAGTTGGTCCGTCCATCTGTCTGCCTGAGGAAGCACTGTGCTCCCATCAACAGGAGTGCCCTCTCCTCCTCCTCCTCCTCGCCAACCACCATCACATCCCAGCAGCGTGGCATCGTTTGGGTAGCCATGGCAACTGCACTACCCATTTGCCCTTACCCCTTGTATCCTGGCAACAGGCAGATGAGATGAGGCAATGGTATTGTGTATGTGGGTGTGTATGTGCATCTAGAGATGACCATATGTTAGCCACCAAAATACTTGACACACACACACCTTTTTTCATTCACAGGCATAATTGAGTTTTCAATCACTCCTTGCTGAAATAATCCTGATACCAGATTAGTCGTGTATTAGAACCACTGGCTTAGACACGACTGAGGGATTTGTCCATGCTACATATGTGGTGCACAAATTACAGGCCCAGTGGAGGGTGGGGGGTGTGTGTGTGTGTGTGTGTGTGTGTGTGTGTGTGACCACATTATGATAAATGTGTCTCCCGCAGTCAATAGAGACTTGTGTTACAGTCAGGGGACGTAATGGAAGCTCATCATTGAATAAAAGTCTGCAATGACTCATAGCGTTGCCCTCTGACTGTGAATCACCGTGTGCACGTGGAGAGGTGAGAACAAATGTGAGCTTGAACTGGTACAGACTAATGGTACATGCAGTGCGTGGTGATGCAACATTTGTCCTCCTGCCCAACATCAGAACAAACACATTGTGCTGTACAAACCGTTTTTTCAAAACGTATTTCCTACAAATACAATAATGTGTTTCCTAAATTAATATGTAGGTATATTTATGTAAATATTCTACATGCAGGTTTAAATCTCACAATAATAATATATTTGCTTCCATGTACCGATTAGATATATCTCAATAAACAAACAATCTAGTATTTTTTTAAGTGCTGTAGACTAGGGTAATATTAAATACATTCTAAATAGGTCTTTGCAGAGACCTCATTGATCTCATAGTGTGGGTTATTGCAGATCTTTTCTTATACCATTCAATAAACCTACAAAATGACAGCTTTATTTCTGCATTATATGCAAATAAATACACAATACCTTGTACCTAAAGACTATTGCTTTTTAAATCCCATATTCCCAGCATTTCTTTCTCATGGCTGGAAAGTCATGGCAGAACATACGGAGGAGGAAGATCTAATTTTCTTGGTTCATTTACCCTCAATTGTTGAGATTTTCTTACCAAATTTGTGCTTATTTTAAGTGATGTAACAACCTCTTAATTAAAGGAATACTTAACCAACAAAATAATCATTTGTATATCAGTTACCCTGTGCTTCACTGAATTTGTGACGAAAAACATATTTTTTTCTGGCATGCCTCCACAATGAATGAAGGATTTAAAAAAAACAGAAAAATTCTTGATAAACTAAAGTAAACGTGGTCCACGTTTAACAACAGCAAAAATGCAAATGTCAAAACATCTGTTTACAAACTCTCACACAACTCGTGCAGTATAATCCAAGCCTTATTTATCCCGTCATATACTCAGTACTTCATAAATACAAGCATTTTTGCAAAAAACTTACTATTTGAAACATTTCTACGTCAACAGTCTGACGCATGGACAAATAGCGTACTTGGGCAACTGCATGCATTTGAGCTTCTATGCGTAAGTTTTTTAAAAAGGAAGGTTTAGCAAAAATGTATGAGTTTGGGAAGAAGTGTTTTGCTGTTGTTAAACGCGCTCCTTTTTATTTCAATTTATCAACAACTTTCTCAGTTTTTGGATTCTTCGTTCATTGAGGCACGGCAGAAAAACAGTTTTCAAGTTTGCATCAATAGTGGTCCTGCCTGATACCAACTACTACTGCTATTATTTTCATACTTCTACTATTATTGTACACATATAATTATTACTGTCACTCACATAGATTGTAATACACTGATATTTACTTATAACATATATGTTACTGAAACACTATTATCAGGGGGGATGTCGTATGCTGTAAAGCCCTCTGAGGCAAATTGTGATATGTGATATTGGGCTTTATAAATAAAATTGAGTTGAACTGAACTGAATTGAATTGAATCTAATTTAATTTAATTTACTTCAACGTAACAAGGCAAGTAAAGGACTTAATCCTTGGACTAATTTCTGTAGTATAGATAGAAAACAGTTGCTGGTTCCACTTTTTCAAACTGTGAGGATTATCTGCACAGTCGGTTTGGAACAGTTGGTCAGACAATACAAGCACTCTGAAGTCGCACATCACTACTGAAATTAGTTTGTTAAATCCCTAGTTGTTTTAATTCTTAATTTCATTCACCTCAACTTTTTCTTCTACAGGCAGCTAATGTTGGTACCATCTTGTTCTACTGCATCATTTTCAGTGGAAATAAAAAATTATTTTACTTCGCTGCTCAGAACATATTCTAAAAAACCCTCATTACAAGCTACCACACATCCTTGATGGCAGCCCACAGGGGACGGTGAGTGCAATGACTCACAAGACAACTCAAAAATATGTATGAATCTGCTGTACAACTGTGATGAAGTGAAAAGAAAAGAAAAAAATGCTGAAAACAAACACAGTGAGTCAGCCAAGACTCACTTTACAAAGACACACTTACCAGTATATATGCTGGCGTTGGAGGCGGGGATACCAAACTGTGACTCAATAAACTTGGGGATGAAGGTGATGAAGGCAGTGACGATGGCGCACTCTGCTGTGTAGGACAGGCTGACGAACAGGAAGGTCATGTTGCTGAGGATCCTCAGGGCTGCCTTGGGCAGGTCTGGGGAGGGATACAAGACAAGACAGAGCGCTCCATTACTGTGGTGCTGTAATTAACACACAATCAGTCTCTTAATTTGGCTCTCACTCACGCCCACCCCAACTGAAGTCGACAGAATCATCACAAGAAGAATCATTACTGGAAAGCTGTAATTAAGAAAAGGCAGAGAAGACGGCATCTGTAACACAAATAAACCTTGTGTCACAATAACCTTAGGTAATAACGGAGTAAAAGTTAACACCATCTTAAAATGTCTCTGAAACACATAAATACACACTTGGGCATTCAACCATGTCTCATTACATCTGGGTAAGTATTCCTGTTTCACGCAGGACTGCAGGAACAAACAACAAGGCATAAACACACAGATGCTCATTGTAGCCTGAAACCCTATGAAGCTTGAAGAAACTCGTATCGCTACCAGCAAGTTCTGCTGCACAATGCAAGTTTGTGGATCATGTGCATCTCTGCTGCGAGCCCAAAACAAACCAAGCTCTGCAAATCCAGCCTGAATGCTGTCATCCTTGGTTCATCATAACAAGGGCAAACATGCCCTTTATGTCTGCCTGAGGGCAGTGTCCATATGATTAGGCTGACATGATGTAGAATGCCCTCTCATCCTGCCACTTCTAAGAGTCATGTGGTCAAACTGTAAGTACACTACTGTTACCAGGCAGAATGAAACAGTTACTCTATTGATCTGTTGCTGTCCAGAGATAAACCTCTGATGTCACCTCCTATCCAACCGAAGAAACGCAAACACATTTTCCAAACAGGAGCTAATGGGGATTCAGTTTCTTACTCTCTGGCACATCAGTGAGGCAGATGCTTGCTGTCATGGCAACTCAAATGTGGAACTCCCAGTTGAACGACTATCCCCGAAATCATTACACCAACATGCTATCCACACACCAGTCCAATACATGTGTCTGCTGACAGCCTTAAATGACCATTTACATTTAAAATGTGCATTTTCCTGTCCTTCTGCCAAATTCAAACCATCTGTTCCTCTCAACCCAAAGCCCCATCCCAACATCCTGTTTAAAGAGAGACTGCAGTCATTTAAAACCTGGACCCTATTTTCCCATGTTTTTGTGTTCAAGTGACTAATGGTAACAACAAAGTTTAAAAACCGTCCAGTAAGAGAGCAAGAGAGAGCTTTGCAGCCACTCGGGGCATGTTGGCAATGTCATTTTACATCCACTGAAAGTGCTTGTTTTTGTCACTGACTGGCTCAGAATGTTATGATAAGTGTCTGACAATATTATGGAAAGGATCCCTACAAAGATAGACCTTGAAGCAGATGGGCTACAGCAGCAGAAGACCACACCAGGTGCCACTCCTGTCAGCTAACAACAGGAAACTGAGGCTACAGTTCACACAGGCTCACCAAAACTGGACAACAGAAGATTGGAAAAACGTTGCCTGGTCTGATGAGTCTGGATTTCTGCTGCCACATTCAGATGGTAGGGTCAGAATTTGGTGTAAACAACATGAAAGCATGGATCCATCCTGCCTTGTATCAACGGTTCAGGCTGGTGGTGGTGGTGTAATGGTGTGGGGGATATTTTCTTGGCACACTTTGGGCCCCTTAGTACCAACTGAGCATGGTTTAAACACCACAGCCTACCTGAGTATTGTTGCTGACCGTGTCCATCCCTTTATGACCACAGTGTACCCATCTTCTGACGGCTACTTCCAGCAGGATAACGCACCATGTCACAAAGCTCAGATCATCTCAAACTGGTTTCTTGAACATGACAATGAGTTCACTGTACTCCAGTGGCCTCCACAGTCACCAGATCTCAATCTAATAGAGCACCTTTGGGATGTGGTGGAACGGGAGATTCTCATCATGGATGTGCAGCCGACAAATCTGCAGCAACTGTGTGATGCTATCATGTCAATATGGACCAAAATCTCTGAGGAATGTCTCCAACACCAACACGAAAACATGAGAAAATAGGGTCCAGATTGAGAAATACCGAACTTATCCTTTAATACATAAACATGTCATAACATTGAGAGAAAGAGAAAAACTATTAATTTTAAGGCTACTGTAATGGTCGCCTTGATTTCTCCCATATGTAGCCTCCTGTATTTACAAAGTTTACCTTACATGTCCTTGCCAGAAACGCAAGGTTGCAGAAAACACTGTTCTCAGGGTCACTGGAACATACGCACTCCTTCATCTCTCAGCAACACTGAGGGCAAAAGATTTCAGGAGCAGGTTTGACAGAATGGGGATCTCTGCAATCCACAGGGACCTCAGATTCAAGCTGCTGCTTCTCTACATTATAAAGCTGATGTAGTTTGGGCTCCTGGTTAGGATGTTCTGCGGAAGGACCCAGGACATGCTGCAGGGACTACATGTCCAAACTGGCCCTGAGCTGAAGCACACTGCTGATAAAGCAGATGTCTACCTTTGTTCTCTTGCATGCCTTACATGCCTTACATTATTTGTGCTTCCTTGGAGTATTTTAAATATTGTTTTGCTAATTCTTTTAAGCATAATAGTCAAACATTTACTGGTTTGATGCTTCTTTAATGTGAGAATTTGATGCTTTTCTTCAGCTCTTGTTCACAGAAAGACAGGAAGAGACGGAAATCAAAGAGAGATTTTCTTTTTGCTTTTTTCCGGCAGTTGAAATCCAAAAAGGCCAAGAAAGGTCCCTCTATCAAAAACAATTATTGGTACCATAAAGAAGCGAGGTCACTTGTGTGCATGCAAAGCTTCTCTATTCAAATGAATTTGAACTTTGGGGGCTGATTCCAGACAGAAAAACATTGTGCTGGCTACCCTTGACCTTAACTATCTGTGGGATGATAGATGGGAGAAGACAGCAATCGCAGGTAGCGTTTAATTTTCAAACTAAAATATTAAATTCAGGTTTTCAGATTTTATCTTAAACCTCTTTTCTTTCTGTGCAGTCTTTTTCTCTCCCTGTGTGTGTGTGTGGTTTGTCAAAGGCCACATTTGAAAGCAAAGTAAGACTTCAAACATTTGGCTGGTCACAGCTTGTCTAACTGAGCACACAGTTGGCATCTCCGATCGGTCCTGTGTGTGTCCAGAGTGTTTTAAGCCCTGGGCTGAGGGCAAATATTATGACTTTACAGTCATAAGGCGATCATGGGGGCTTCTTCTGTCTCATGTGCTTCACACACACACACATACACACACACACACAGATTCCTAGCGAAGAAAGAACAAAGGAAAAGGCAGGCAGCATTTAAAGTGGATTATTATTGCCTTTTAGAAGGGCGGTAATCATAAAGCTGGCCAGCCTGAGTGGGTGGCACGGTGCCTTGATTTGGGGATAGCCATCTCAGCACTGATTCAACTAATCTTGTTGTAGGTGGGAAAATTTTAGCATCTGTCAGTGTTATCTCAGATCAAAAGGTATGAATAGAATAGTGACGCTCATTATTTCATTCCCATGGAGCTGTGCTGTAAAGTTGTCTGGAGGGGGACAGATGGCGAGGTCCTGTTGACGTCTACAGCAGCTGCTCCCTCAATCAGACAGACCACTGGCTCGCAATACTTGCCACACACGCTATTTTGTTGTGAGAATTTATTTGATGACTCTGTCAAACTATTTCATCCATCTGCTTTTGCTTAGCGGGTGTTAATAGCATATTATTTGTACTATCTGTAAATACACTAATATAGCTCATACAAGTCACGCCATGAAGCTGGTAAAGTCAAAGCAGTAGATCTAATATAAGAACAAATGTTCAACAACAATGGTGTAGATGATCCCTGTACCTCCTCTCAAAAGACACAGAATTGGTTTTCGATTCTTTACAATTCTGTAATCTGTAATATTGGCAGAAATGGAATGTAATATTATAAATATGTTTTCTTTAGTGTATAATCACCTTAAAATAAGAATCGCTGTGTATTAGTTACCTGAGAATAAGATGTTTATATCTACATAGGGAGCAGGTCTTCTTTCACAGAGTCTGCCATGTTGCACCACTATGTTTCTACAGTAGACCAGAGCGGACAAACCAAACAGTGGCTTTAGACCGGGCCATTCACATTGTCATGTCGGCCACTATAGTTAGCAGCCCCTCTGCAATGAACAGCATCAGAGAAACACCTATTTTTTTTAACATGAAACTGCTTTACTCAGTGTGTTACCGGTTTAAATTACCTAGTCCATTTGTTTTGGAGAGGAAGGGACCTCTGCGTAGAATATGGCTCCCGGTAAAATCCTCCTGAGCAACTAACACTGAAGGAATTCTAACCAGAAGAAGTTTCAGCTGGTTGAACTCTGCAATCCTCATTGCCAGACACCACAAAATCCCCCGAAATCAGCAGGCCACTTTCATCCAGATTTGGGTGGAAAATAATTCATGAATTAGACAAAAGTTACATTTACATATAATCCTGATAATAACAAATGATTAGTCTATCGACAGAAAATTTATCGCCAGCTATCTAAATAATTGTTAATTGTTTGGCGGCAAGGTGGTGCTGCGCTTAGCACTGTCGCCACACAGCAAGAGGTTTTTGTTTTTTTTAACCCTTGTGATGGGGGAGCCCTTCTGTGCAGAGTTTGCATGTTCTCCCCGTGTCAGCGTGGGTTCTCTCTGGGTACTCCAGCTTCCTCCCACAGTCCAAAGACATGCAGGTTCATTGGTGACTTTAAACTATCCATAGGTGTGAATGGTTGTCTGTCTCCATGTGTTAGCCCTGTGATAGTCTGGTGACCTGTCCAGGGTGTACACCACCTCTTGCCCAGTGTCAGCTGAGATTTGCTCCAGCCCCCCGCAACCCCTAACAGGATAAGCAATTACTGAAAATGAATGAATGTTTAAATCATTTATCTGGTTTTCTGTTTAAGATCTTTGTAGTCTGAGTATATTTGGGCTTTGGACTGTTTATCAAGCTGTTAAACAAGATATTTAAGAAATCACCTAGATGTACTTGACAAGCAATAAGTCAACTGATTAATTCCTGAAGTCACTTTCCCTCATCTTAACTTTAAATATTGAATTTGGATGGAATCAAATAGTGAGTCTTGAGTCAAACCTAATTTGAAAGTAATTGTTGAAACTTTTTTTTTTTTTTAAATATCACTTTGTATTACTGTATCTGTATTTTATTAGCCGTCAGGTCAGTTATCGGCCATTGACATATGATTGTAATATGCATTATGTAGCTGCAGTTATTCATCTAACAGCAGAGAAACTGAAGCCAAATATATGAGCTAGTATAGATTATATACTAGCTAAAATTCCATGAGATGCAAAGTCCATGAAATGTAAAGAATTGCTCCAACACAGCAGTTGACCAAGGTCTGGAATATTCCGTAATCAAAAGAGCGTCCCTGACGTGTATTACTGAAAATATTGAGTGTTAGCATTTTTCACTGTTTGCTGATGATATGAAGGGCAAAAAAATGCTTGGTGAAAACAGCCACTTTGGTTCAGCATATCTTTCATAGAAAGTGCTGAATTTGTTCTATGGACAAACACACACACACACACACACACACACACACACACACACACACACACACACACACACACACACACCGCTATAGAAGGACACGCACAGCACTATAATATATTACAGACCCAAACATTGAAGGGCCTGAGTCTGCAAAATTGGATGTAGTTTGCACAACAGCTCAAAACATCCTGCTGGGACGAGTAAAACAGCAGGAGAGCTGCCACTGGCCTGTAGAAGCTATAATGCATTCATGGTTACATTATGTGTTATCTGCTTTCAGAGACACAATCCTGTCCGGACTGCTGTGGAGAATGCACAACAGCATGAATATATGAGTATGCATCCATTTAAATAAATATTAGGATTCACTTTAGTTATTTTGCATATAATAAAGAGTGTGAGAGCAAACATGCATTCTACAGTTTTGCTCTGCTGCCAGGACTGTCTGCTCTTGTGTGTGGAAACGTGACTGAGTTCCCCCGAGAGCTCATTTAAAAGAGAGAAAGAGCTGTCTGACTGAGAGAAAAATCAGTCAAAGAGGAAACTGGGAAACACTGAAACAGGATTCTGCTTAACTAGGGAGCTCTCTGAGGGAAAACCAGGAGATTCCTGTTATATCTGGCTCAGAGAAAACATAAAAAATACTCTCACAGCATCTCCAATTTTCCTAATTTGATGTTTTAATTCTAGTTTAAGAATGCATGATTGCTGCAATGTGTCCGTTGTCTTCTGCCATGCATCACTGGAAGCACCATATACTTATTTGTGAGTTCTGATGACTTCCTTTTTTATTTTATGATTTTTGACTCTGCACCCATTATACTTGCAAAACATTTGAGCTGAGCACACCAGTTCTTTTGTTTCAACTGTGCGGACAGCCTCCTCCGTCACTAATCAATAACATCTTTAAAAGGAAATCTAAATGGAGCACCAACTGTTAGATAAAATGACTAATCATGGGCATTGATTGAATTATGGGCAATTTGCACATCAATAGCTCACAGTTCCTCTATGTAAGGAACTTGTAACACCTCCAGAGGTGCAAAACCAAGACTGATATTATCTGTTCCTCACCTTTGATGTCCTTTCCAAAGCCCATGGAGGAGGAGACATTCTGGCCCTTGCTGCCGGATTTCTCCTTCATCACATCGTCGTCGCTGGACACGTCGTCTGGCGAGCCAATCTTTTTCTTCTTCCTCTTTTTGTGGCGTGGGGGCAGCTTTTTGGGGAAGGCAAACATTGGAAAGATGACCAGAAGCATGGCTATGGCACACAAGAGAAAGCCGCTCCACCTGAGAGGAAGAAACAACAGATGGGTTGTAAAGGCTACAGAGAACAGACTGATCACCGCAAAGGCAAAGGCACATAAGGACTCGGACAGTCATGCAGATGCACTTGCATATTTACCAGTTGCCGACAAAGCGGGGGTCACTCTGGTCGATGTTTACTACAGTTTTGGGGTCGACGTAGAAGCCGATGAGGACACCTCCTAGCAGGTAGCCAGCTGCAGGTCCCAGGGCTCCCATCACATACATGATGGCTAGAAAAGAAACAGGCAGAGCCAATCAGAAATTCAAATTCTCTTTAAACTGCTTTCCTAGATGAGGCTAAATGAGCTCTCATTAACAACACAGGAAGTCAACACTTTGAGAGCCTTCAAGTTTTTCCTCATTCTCCATTAATGCTCTTAATGACCCACTGTTAACTGTTTAACTCAGACTTGTGGGAGCAGTTCATTACCCCTGATGCATTGCGCAGCATACTCAGAACACCTGCACTGATATCAGTGGGAACTTGCCACCAGCCCTGAGGTCATTTATCACAGCTTTTGAAGCGTCTGTAACAACCGACCTGAAAGCTCCAGAGGTCTCGGGTTGACCTGAGGGCACGCCAGCGGCTCTCCCACATCAGCAAACCTCAGAGTGAGCGGGGGCGAAACATTAACCCTTGGAAGGCTCTCAGACCCTCACAGAGGTAAGCCTATCGCACTCCGTCGCTTTGCCCGCAGGAAGGGAAAAACTCATTAAAGTTAGATAACCTTAGTTGGACAAGTGGAAAAACCTCCTGCGGACATCCAGCGGAGACGCGAGTCAAAGCCATTTACTAGCTGTAATCATGGGGCAAACTTTCTATAATTACACCTGGAACATTGCTGCTAGCCGTCAGGGTGTGAGTGTGTGTTTGCGTGACTGGGGGGAGGGATTAGCTCTTCATGATGGTTGTGTGTGAATATGCATTAAAATGTTTGTGTGAATGACATAATTCTCACCCTCAAGTAGACTTAGCGGTTATATTTTAATTTTAATCGGCAAGACGGCTACAAATCACATGCCTCATCACTCTCACACATTCACACACCTAGCAAAATGTTCCTGTTCCTCCATTTGTGTCTGTCAAATGTCACTTTTCTTGGATGCTGGCACTAAACTCCGTCATAAGTGTGTGTGCGCACATGTGTAAGAGTGTGCTGGTGTCTGTGTTTAGCAGCAGGTGTGCTGTGTATCTAGACCAATCCTCAAATGTCTAATCTCTTCCCCTGAGACCAGCGGAACACCTCATCTCTGCCAGATTACGTAACAAATGCGTGCATGCGCACACACACTTCAGCAAAGTTTGTTTTCGTCAGAATGGAAGCTCAAAAGCCATTTCATCTCAGTCTGTTTCACCAAATGTTTCAGCTGCCCCGCCAACATTTGCATATAGCATCCCTACATCCCAAGAGGCTTGCATCTTCTGCCGCCCTCATATTTTCATCCTAATGTTTTGAGTGCTTGTGGACCTCCTTTAATCCCCGGATATGGCCAATCGAGCACGTGTTCGCTTCTATAGTGCAGTTCCAACAATGTCCCAAAGCCCAAATCCTTATCTACACTTAATTAAATCATGGCTTCTTTAAACAAAACTATTGGGAAAAAGAGAATGAGAGGAAAATATTGCTTTAAGAACAAAAGGCCCTTCAACAAATCCTCTTATCAGCCTAGAGCAGACACACACACATGCTTGCACGCATGAACACAAAATGCAAGACAACAATGGTCGATTCCCGTGGCTCCAAAGACTCTGGTGATCACTCATTTTTACGACTTTCGGCGCACATTAAGCTTGTCTATGTGAGTGTATACGTTTCAAAATATAAATGAAACATATATGAACATATGAAAGTGAGAGCCTGACAGTCTGTGGCAGTTTCAGTCCTATAAATCTTACAGACATGAATCACTTCTCTAAGCACCTGAAGCAGGTGTCCAGGTGTCCTTCTTTCACTTCTCCTGCCGCTCTCTCACATATCATATTTCATCTTTTTAACTCCTTTCACTGCGCCATTTCTCATATCCTGCTGACTGGAGAGTCACTTCACGGCAGCAGTCGATCTGTTACACAGTGTAACTGGAGAAATTACCCACCCAGAGACAATAAACAATTAACTATTGTTGGCAAGGACAGCGTGAGGTCTTATCTTAATATCTCCATCTTGAAATTAAAAACCATCTCACAAAACCTGAGCCAGTGAATCATGTTTTTGTGGTACACAGCAAAATAATTTCCATCAATAAAGCACTGAATATAGTCCGTGATAGAAAGGATGGCTATAAAGCCGACAGTTTAAAGATGAGAATGACTCTGAGCACTTGGTACACATGATTTTAGAGATTGCAGAGGTTTTCAGATTCAGTTCTCCTGACTCTTTTTTTTTTTAAAGATATTTTTTTGGCCATTTTTTTGCCTTTAATGGACAGGACAGTTAAGTGTGAAAGGGGGAGAGAGAGAAGGGGAATGACATGCAGCAAAGGGCCACAGGCTGGACTCGAACCCGGGCCGCTGCGGCAACAGCCTTGTACATGGGGCACCTGCTCTACCACTAAGCCACCAACGCCCCAGTTTTCCTGACTCTTGATCAAGCTTCAGAACAGGGTGACTCTTCAAAAATATGTTATACAGTTTTGAGCAGGTTAATAATAGAAATATTAATGGACACAACCATTATGTATGTGACTTCGCTATTGCTTAAGTTTAAAGGAATACTTTGCCTCTCAAATGATAATTTGTGTATCAATTACTGACCCCTTCTAATGATGGATTTGTGTTGAAAACTCCACAGTGAACGGAGAATCGAAATACAAAGAAAATTCTTGATGAATTAGAGTCATAGGCATCCGTGTTTAACAACAGCAAAACTATATCAAACATCCATCTACAAACTCTCGCACAACTCGTGCAGTATAATCCAAGTCTCATTTATACAGTCATATGCTCAGGACTTCCCAAATGCACAGACTTTTTCGACAGAAACTGAGCGAAAAGTGAAATTTATCTATGCTCTCTTCACAGCCAGACTGCATTGACAAAAACAGTAATTTTACCTCACTGAACACAGAAGCTGCTGGTCGACGACTGCGTCAATCATAAGTTTGTTTGTGTGTTATTGTGTGACCGTGGTGAATCTGAACTAACCATTTAAAACACCAAAGTCACACAATAACAAACAAGGAAGTGGTTGACCAGCAGCTCCTGTGTTCAGCAAAGTAAAATTACTGTTTTTGTCAATGAAGTCTGGTTTTGAAGAGACTGTACCTAAGTTTTACTTCCTGTTCAGTTTCCCATCGAAAAAGTCTGTCTGTTTGTAGAGTACTGAGCATCCGACTGGATAACTGAGACTTGGATTATACTACAAGTTGTGTGAGAGTCTGTAAACAGATGTTTTGATATAGTTTAGCTGTTGTTAGACACAGTGGGTCGCCTATGACTTCAATTTATAAAGAAATGTCACAGTTTTTGGATTCTTTGTTCAGCGCAGGCATGCAAAAAACTTTTTTTTTTTTCATGAAGTAAACATAACACAGAGCAAGTAATTGACATACAGTCATTTGAGAGGGTGAAATATTCCTTTAAACCTTACAGGATTAGAAGCCTCAATAATACTAAACTAACAGTCAAGATGGACATTTTTGCAGTACAGTGCCACATGAAGAAAAGCCTATCAATGAATCATCACATCACTTTTCCAACTGCTGACCCTTCCTGTGCCCCAAATATAACTGGACATCATTTAAACACAATTTGGCTTGAACCAGATACACCTGGCGCAGTCAGCCATTCACTCGTCAGGCCAAGGTTGAGCACCAACTATGGTCCTTTGGTTGCCCTCCAATCTCCATCATCCCCTTTCTTGGTCACCCAGGCGGGAACGGCCATATTTTATCCCCCTTGGGTGATTGTGTAAGCGCTTATCTTGCCACTCCATCTATCACGTTAACAGTGTTCTGCCCGACTGGAGGACACAGGGGGTCATAAACCGTGCTTGACTCGTCGCCCTACCCTGCTTGCCTGGCACAGGCTCCATTCAGATATTTAGGGATGAGGGGATTGAAGGGTTGCAGCCGGGCTGAAGGGCAGCCAAGGCAGACCCATCGGATTGAGGAATATGCTGGCACAGCAGCAGCGCTCCATCACACACAAACACACATGCTGCGGTGGCAGACGTCAGTGGAGCACAGGGGCTGAATGCCAATGCAGAACGCATGGCACGCCACAGGCTCACTTTACCCAATTACGCAATAGACCTTTACCAGCAGCACGTGAAGGACGATACATTATAGGCTTCATATGGCTTTCTACACGTGCAGAGGTAATGGATTAGGAGCTCGCCATTGCAGTTATTGGCTTCTCACTCTTATGTTTTACAAAGTCAGCATCTAAACCTCCTACTGTGACCATTCGGCTTGACTTTCAGTATGTTGTGTTATTTTGTGCTGACTTTGTTATATGCATTAGACTTGCATGAGAAGATACATATTGAGGATAAAGTCACAGAGCGTGCAAGTTAACATGCTATAAGCAGAATATGATGTCAGCAACAAGATACTGATGTTTATTGCACCGGCCTGGGAAAAAAACAAACACACACACACACACACAAGCATTGAAAAGAACCCATCAAGAAGCACTATAGCATCAATTGCAACTCAGTCCCTTTAACGTCAGCCAAGGTCACTCCCTCACTGCATATTAAACACACACATGAACACTGAAACGTGCATGCACATGGACACGTGAGATGGGAGGTGCAAGGGCGTTAAAGGTAAGAGTGGAGGCGGGATTAGACAGAGGTTAGAGAGTTTTATAGTGCATCGTTGACCCCAATTTAGTGTTTCAGCTCCACTGTTTGTGATGGATGGACTCAGTGGTGTCAGGAAGACGAAGAAGAGATTTACTTGCCAATAATCTGGAGAAGAGAAAGGCAATATAGTGGGATACAGAAAGAAATAAAAACTGATAAACAGAGACGAGTGGCGGGGAGAGAAAGCAGAGACAAAGAAAACAGATGAGGCAGGAAGAAACGGAAGAACATCTGAGAGCGGGGAGCGAGAGAGTGATGGAACATGAGGAAACAGAGGGAGAGGAAAGGAGAGGAGCTGGGCTGCAGTCTGTGGCGACTGATCCTGCTGTGTAACAGAGTGATAAAGCTTGCTCAGCAACATCCCTCTCAAATCTAACCTTCAGGGACCAGCGCTGCTCTGTTGTCTCCACTCTGCCTCCTCC